CCCCAAAACCCCAAAACCCCTCTCTGCTCAGTTTCATAAAATTTGTATTAAATAAAATTACAAAAACTACTTGATTTATTATAAATTATTGATTGAGATATATATATCTAATGAAGTATATACAAAGATTAGGAACACAGAAATAAAATTTCTAAGTGCAGGTTAGACTGGTAGCACTTACTTGTGATTTAAAAGAACCAGGTTGGTTCACAATATAATGGAAAAGAGGACCTTCAAAGGAGGAGACTGATAAATTTGAATATCTCCCTGCTGTTGGAAGTGCTTCAATCAATTAAATGTTTGTGAGATATTCCTAAATATACAAGGAATAAAAGAGTGCAAAGTACTTAAAGAAAACAGTAAGAAAGCCTATACCCCTAATCATACTTCTAAATATAGTGTCAATTCAGACTTAGAAAATGGGATGGTGCAACTGCAAGACAGATTTGTGAAATTGAGGTAGATATGGCACCTTTCATAGGAAAAGGAGAGACAAGGCAAAAGATTCATTTTGCCAAGTGTGAAGTTCCAAACTGTTTCTTGGAACTTGAGTTCAAGCTAACAGAGTCAGAAGGAGCAGGAGAGGAAAGCGGGGATGAAGATTCAAAAGAACCTTCTCAAACATTCCATTAACCAGCAGATAGTAGAAGATATGATGATGAGATTCAGCAGCTTAAAGATCAGCTCGCAAAAGCCAAGCAAGAGACAGCTGACGTTGTTTTGAGAAAGCAGCAAGTTGAAGATGAGCTAAATTAGAGATAAAATACCATAAAACTTCTTAGATCAGATATTGAGCAAGCTTCAAAGAACTTACAATAGTTATCAGAAAATAACTCTGATGAATCAGTTGCAATAATTTCGTAATTGACATCAGAAAAGAACAATTTGTAAGATCAGTTAGATGCTTTAAATTAGCAGATCACAGAACTGAATCATTAAGTATCACATCAGAGGCATGAATATGAATCGAAAAGTAAGTTAATATCTATTTAGATTTTCAAACTAAAATTTAGTTCAATAAATTGAGAGTAGAAATGAAAGTCAAAGTGAATAGAGTAGACATCATGAAAATTAAATCTAGGACTTATAAGTAATTTAGTAGTTTTATATATTAATAGGAAGCAATCAATGAGTAAAACAAAGAATTGTAAGCCTTAAAACATCAATTGGATGATTCTCATTAAAGAGAAGAGACTTTAAAATCTCAACTCTAAGGAGATAGCTAATAGATTTAAAAAGATCATGAAGCTAGAATCGAAGAAATCAAAGATAATCACTTGCTAGAGTTACATGAATACAGAAAGAAATTTGAAGATCAATAGGTTTAATACTAAGAATAAATTCAATAGCTACAATAATAAGCACAAGAGAAAGACGCTGAAATCGAAAGTATAAGAAACTAGCATGATAGCACTATCTCTTAATTTAAAGATGAGATTCATGTTTTGAGAAACACTCTAGAATAGTAAAACAACCTTTTAAGATAAGAGGTAGCTTCTCTTTAATAATCTCAAAGCGGCCAAGTAACTAAGCTAGAACAAGAAAAATAAGAGTTAATCTCTCAACATGAGAATGATAAACAAGAATTCGAATAAATTCAACAGTCTCTTGAAATTGAGGTAGAAAATTTCAAGCAGCAAGCAGCTTAAATGAGCTAACTCAATGAGCAAATAGCTACTTAGCAGCAAGAAATTTCTTCATTAAATAATCAGATCCAATCTCTAACTTAATAAGTTGCAGATTTGAATACTCAAGCACTAACTGAAAATTAAGAAAAAGCTGCTTTGAATGATCAAATTTCTTCACTCAATTCTTAGTTGGAGGCTCTAAATGATCAAATATCACAACTAACCTAAGAAAGTCAAATCAAATAATCATAAAACGCAGATCTAGAAGACAAACTTAGATAATTATCAGAAGAATTAAATCAAATAAGACAGCATCTTCATCATTCACAAGATGAAACAAGAGCAGCTGAAAAAGCAGGTGAAAATCTTAAATCACATTATGAAAGCGAAATCAAATCACTAAACAGTAAAATCAAAGACTTAGAAGAGAGAGTTTCTTCTTCTGGTGGTGGTGCTGCAGCTGAAGATGATTTCGATAGGTATGCTTTTTGAATCAATAATATGTTTATAATTTCATTTTCAACTATCTACAATTTTTATCAATTTTTATATTCATGGGGTTTTGGGGTTTTGGGGTTTTGGGGTTTTGGGGTTTTGGGG